ACGAAAATGAAGAGAACACACTTCTCCGATGCAGTATAATTCTGTGAGTCACCAGGTACACCCACTGTAGTGATGCCTGCTGGTAAAGCCGCCTGTGTCGTCCAGCACTCACCCGGCCTTTCACAAACTGGCAGACACAGTACCAAGTTATCTCTGACTCGGACAGAGAAAGGAGTAGGAATGGGAAGTAAGGTCATTATGGCCACACAGCCAAAAGGGTGAGTTAGTCAAGAAGATCACAGGGGGTTTCTCTGATCCTTTATGTTCAAGGTATAGCAGAAGCCCCAGTGTGACAGGATGGATGGATGACTTCTTCTGCTTTTCTTGACACTGGAAGTGAATGCAGGGAGGTGCAACATAGTAGGCATGTTCTCTTTGTTTTTCTCCTTTGGGATGATTACAAATTGTGTGTGTATGTGTGTGTATACATATATACACATACACTCTATATGCAGTATATATATATGTACACACAGTGTATGTATATACACACATGTATGTGGTGTATATGCATTATAAATATATACATCTATACACACACTTTGTGTTTATGTGTTTTAAATAACTCATGAGAGAAAAATATAGACTGCCATGCTAGTTAAACCAATTAAGAGTAGAGTAGTTCTTAAATTTTAACCCAAGACTAAGAGTAGCGTAATGTCTCAGAGTCCCTTTGTGTCAAAGCTCAGGGACACAACATTCTTAAAGCAAAACACATAATTACACCAGTGTTACAGAGGGTCAGAGCAACCTTGCAACATTTGTGTAGTTAGAACATAGTAGTTGTTATGGAAACAACATGACAATTTTTCTCAGATATTCCTTGGGATTTTTTTAAACTAATTTTATCCTTAGTTTGTAAAATTATTAGTTATTTTGGTTTGTACATATAGTTAATACAAGGCCAGGATGAATATCTCAAGTGTGTGGCCAAGACAGGTGTGCTTGTAATGGGCTAGAGGGCTGAGATGTGTTTAAGCAGACACAAAATGGAGTCAGGACAAGATTGTGTTACCTTAGTCATTTTTGTTTTAAGTTGACATAATACACAAGAAACTCTCCCCTTTCCTCCCCCTTTTGCTTTTTCAACTGTTTCAAGCCAAATGGACTTTGCAAAGATGAGATAAGGACAGTGGCCATTTGGTTAATGATTAAGGGTAGTATTGATTATAGATAGGACACTGAGATCGGAGGAATCATTAAAACATCATTTTTGTTGGATACTTTTCTAATTGTGAGAAATACTTTCTTTTTCTTGAACAGAAAATTAATCAAGTTTTATGATGTCATATAATATAAAATTATATCTAATCCCTCTCTCCAAGAAGGATAGACTTGCCAATATAATGGTGTACTAAGCATTTGACAATAGGATGACTTTCTCTGACGATGTGGTCAGTCCAAGCCAGTGTGCCAGGGAGTCGGACGGACCTTTGCCTGCTTCCTTGTAGCATCCCAGCTTCTCCATCGCTCCCACTTTTGCCCTGCAGTTCCTCTCTGCCATTCTTTCCTTTCTCCTCACAGGAGCTGCAAATATTTATCTTTAATATTCTGGTCTCAAGAAGGAACAGTATGCTGGGGCCTGGCATGCGTGCTCACTTAGCATACGAATGCATTCTATTCTGAAAGCCACTGCATGGTAGCAGGCGGCAGCACAGGAGTGGGAATAATTTATTTGGGGAAACTTGGCTATAAGCTAAGGACTGAGAACAAAAGCTACACATTATTTGTGTAATCCTAGGTCTTACATTTGCCTCTTCTGTGCCTCCCTCTGCCACGAGCATACTGCATCCATACTGTGATGACTTTAAATCTCTGCTATCCTGGTGAATTTGCGTCTACTATTTTGAGAAAGACAACCACCGTGCGTTATAATTGTGTTGGAAAGAAATGGTAGAAAAATGACCCTCTCCCCTATTTTTCTTCAGTCAGGATCGAATAATAATTTCCCCTAATTTGCATTAATATCTGCATCTGCCACCTTTTTTTTCAAAAATAATATATTTAAGGTAAGATTGGAGTGAGGGGTAAAGAGGTCTTGAATATGAACTGTTTTATTCTCCAGAAGCTGAAACAGTTCAGTGTGATTTCAAAGTGCAAGAAAAAAAAAAAAAAAGACAATTAGTTTTGCTTTCAGGAAAGATAAAGACATTTTCTTAATGTAGCAAATATCTGGGTTGTAAGTTAGGAAGGACTGGGGTCACCTGGTCATTGCAGAATAAGGAAACAGCCTGACCCATAACTGCCATCTGTTTTAACCTCGAATGGAGGTCTATTACCAAGGGAAGAAAAGTTGGCAAACAATTGGCTCCAGACACCTAAAAAGCATGTGATCAGTTACTGGGTTGCATGAGAAAAGACTGAGGAGATTGTGGGGACCCCTGAATGGCTTGACCTCTGCTGGGTTGACAGCAGCCAATCCCAAAGTTCACTGTTGCCTGCTCAATCACCCTATAAAAAGTCCCTAGACAAAGCCAAGCAGCAGCAACCCTTTCTTAGGACCCCTCCCAATCAGGAAGATCTCTTTTCGCTGATAATTTTTTTTTCTTCTCATTGGTTGCCATCCGGCTTTAGTCTCCAGTTACTGTCCAAACTGATAAAAACCAGCCATGTGGTACCTCTCATCATCAGGTACCCTAGATGCCCCAGCAAGCCGGCCTAAGTGAACGACTGTCATTCTCAAGCAAAATAATAATAATAATAATAATAAATCACATTATTAAGATCACTATCCCTTAATTTGTGGATATCTTTTTTAGCAGGTGAACTTCAGGTTTTCTCTTGTATGTAATTTACATAATATAGAACAACATTGTGTATCCAGAAGCAACACACCCACTTCCCAGGTTTCCACTGGGCTCTACATCCCCATAGCAGTAACCACCTCTTAGAATTTCATAGGCTTATGTTAGGCAGCTCTACTCAGAGTCAATCTTTAGATTTTCTCTACACATCCATCAGCACTTTTCTCCCGATGTCTGGGTCCTGCCTCTTTGCCTTTGCTCTTGATACAGGCTTCTGTTATTCACAGGGAGATCATTAAGGAAACAGCCAAGTCAGTCAAAGTGGGAATGCATAGATTTGACTGGAATGTGTAGTGTGCTTGCTAGTTACATGACCGTGTTTACACATTTGTTTGGGCTTAACCTTTTCCTTCATGACTAAAAATATGGTGGATAGCCAACAACAACGAGAAATAAGCAGAAGAAAGCCCATTTCTTAGTGGCTCCAGACCTGTGGAAAAACTCCTTGGCAACTTTTCTGGGTTCCCTTTTACCTCAGAAATATTCTGTAAAGTTTAGTAGATAATACCCAGCCAGAGGTCCCAGAAGATAGAGACCAAAGACAGAAATTAAAAGAGAAACAAAGAAAAAGTTTTTTTTTTTTTTTTAAAAAAAGACCTAGATCTCCCACATGGAACAAGACTGTGGAAAAGTGTCCTAATAGAGTAGAATACTTTTACAGCAACGTTTTCCAGTTTCAGCCAGATAGTAACAGGACCCTGTCAAGCCCTGTAGTGTCAGCTGGTAGAAGAGTGGATCTTTCCCAATCTCTAATGCCCTTGGAAGTCCTTCTGTAGACCTCACCATTCAGAAGGGTAGCACTTTGACTCACTAGACAGGTGGTATTAACAAGAGGAGAGGGTTAACAGATCTTCAACAAGATCCAGGAGACTGAGCAAAGTGGAGGGCAAGAGGATGACTGTCAGGGCACTGCACCCCAACTCAGTGCCAGCTGAACCATCGAGAAACTAAGCCTGCCTCCCCCCTGGTGCCAAGGAAGAGAAAAAGGTTTCTTAGGTAGATTTTCCTGGTTCCACCCTCCACTCCTGTTGTCAGCGACTCCAAATGGAGAGCTAAGCTTTTGCCTTCCCACGGCAGGATAAAAATAATCTTAGAAGTTCTCAACTTCCTCCTTTCATGGTACCAGTGGGATCCAACAAGAAGTTGAGCACCCATTCACAACAGAAAACAACATGCAGGACATAACCTGTGAAGTAGAACAAATTGGAAAATAAAGAGAAAACAGATAGAAAAAAAATAAAATGAGCAAGTCTGGGGTCCCCCATAGGAAATTAATCAAATAGTTTACTTAAATTACTGCCATTAGCATCCCAGAAAAAAAAGTATTCAGCTATGAATGGAGTCACTCCATGCATCATTGTCATGATGGACTGTTCGCTCTAAAACTGTGAGCCACGACAAACCTCTCCTCAAATAATTTGATTCTGTCTTAGCACAGCCAAGAGAGCAGTAATAAACGCAAACAGCTAAGGAGAAGGGTCCCTTACCTCTAGAGAAAAGCAATTTAATGGCGATGGGTTTTTTCCTCCTGTGGGAAACTATGAACTTCTAAGGAAGTGACACAAATATTTTCAAATGCTAAAGACCTTCATCAATCATCAATTCTGTGCCTGGGCCAAAGCCATCCTATTATTTAGAGGAAATAAATCAATTTTTAAATAGGGGAAATTAAAAGAATATTTAAAATATCACTAAGTATCATTAGCTGTGGAATTTGCCTAAGCAGAAGGTAATTGATAACAGAAAATAACCACAACTTTGAAGGGAGGAGGACATTAGAATAGACACAAGTAAGTGTGACTACATTATGAACTTCTGAAATCGGTCATAGTGATTTCATTAAAAAGGAACGTCAGAACTGAATGTGATATTCAATATGAATTGAGAACAGACAACACAAGTATTTCATACTAGTTAAAGAGTAGAGAGAGTATAGGGTCCAAAACTAAAGTTTCTGTACTTTATCCAATGTATTAAGCCATTAGTGTTAATAAATTATGGTCCTGTAGCATGCTATACAGTAGCAAAGGCAGGCCTTAAACTGGTGTTCTCAAGTGCTAGTGCCGCAGGCATGCTGCACCCTACCCAGTGATATTTGATGTGTGCATTGAAATACTTAGCACAGCCACCATGAAAACAAACTACAGCACTAGACCTCAGACACTGAACACACAGCAGGACGGATGGAATACTTACAAAAGATCAAAGACTCTTCTAGACGGGATTATTCCTTCTTGAATCAGAAACAGTATAAAGACACTTGCTCTTTCGACTTTTGATCTTCCTTTGCTAAAGAGTGCATATCTGAAACAAAAAGAAAATGTCCCTATTTACCAATTGCATTACTGAATTTGTGAAATATAGGCAGCCCACATATGTGCACGCGTGCACACATCACACCTTTAAACCAATCTGTGTGAATGTCTAAACAAATTTACATATGTATAAAACATTCACATTTTGAATGTTCACATTCACAATGAACAGATAGAAACCAAAGTTTAAAACAAAGTATTAATAAAGAAGAAAGTATTTGGATATAGATGCAAGAAAATGTGTGCAGGATTGGTATCCTTAAAAATCAAATAAATAAGGAAATCAAAAGTGCACTGAAGTGGAAGAACCTGCTGTGTCTGGAAGATAATATGATAAAACATTCATAATCTTTTGTTCATAGCTTAACATGATGACTATCCAGATGTGAGCAAATTTTCCAACAGATATGAAGAAGCTGCTTCAAAATGTCCATGGAAAAGTGACAGCATTCTCGTCTGGGATGGGTGAGGCAGAGGAATCCCTTTGTCTGCCTTTTACTGCAATATCCAGCTAAGGTCTTTGGCTTCTAGTACTGTGATAAAATACAAAGAGCAAAAGTAACTTGGAGAGAAATGGATTTATTTGGTTTTTCATGTTCTGATCACAGTCTATCGTGAAGGGAAATCAGGATAGAAACTCAAGGCAATAACCTGGAGGCTAGAACTGAAAGAGAGACCATGGAGGAATATTGATTATTGGCTGGGTTCCCATGGCTTGCTCGGTAGGATAGCTGTCTTCAAGAGAGGAAAATAGCTGGAAAATGTCATTAACAGAAACTAAAGGATAATATCAAAACTATTAGTCATCATGGTCTGGAATTCAATTATTACCTTTTCCCTATCTGTATTTGACATAAAATTTTCATGTGACATAGAATAAGATTCCTAGACTTAAAAATAAGTAAATAAGAACACAGTTTAGCCTAATGGAGTTAAGATGACAGATAAAGAAAAGGTGTATTTTAAATAACCAAAATAGACAAATTTTAGCTAGGTTGACCAGTTTCCCCATGTTTTTACGGGTGTTTGTACGCTACAAACTATCTTACCTAGATTTAATTGGTTAGAAATGGAATTTCGGAGAAGTTACTGTAGTATTGAACCCCTTTTTATTAGTAAAATAAAATATTCTTCAATTAATTTTTAAATCCTGACTACATGTTCCATAAGTCACTTAGATATAAATTAAATAAAGACATATCAGTTCTTATGGTATTAAAATATCATGAGACCAGGAGAGACATCACTGGGGTGAGTGAGTTTCTGCCCGCGGCAGCAGCCCGGGACAGGGAACTCAGACACCCCTCCTACACCTCCTGGTCATCCTCAGGGGCTACTCTGCCTGATACCTCCTCTCTCTTCCTATCCCACCCAGCTTGCATCCACAACCCTCTCCGCCCCCTCCGTCTGACCCCCTTCCCTCTTTGACCACATAACATCTCCCAGCCCAGCCTGTTCGGGCTCTAGGACCGAATCCGAATCGGCAGGGCAAA